GGTGAGTGGACAAGCCCCTTCTTTTCTGCCTCTGCTTTGGCTAGGAGTGTGCGGGTTATTCTCCAAGGGCTCAGATCTAAGCCGGGCACGGCCCAGAGCTCACAGCTGACGGGCTGGCTCTAGGACCGACCCCTGTCTGCACACCAGGCACTGGACTGCCACTCTCTTCCCCGGGTTGGCCTCCTCCAGGAAGTCCCCCTGCCCCAAGCTGCACTGAGCCTCCCCAAGTTGACCCTGGTGGGTGTGCAGGCCTGTAGGCTTGCAGGCCCCGGGGACCCGTTGGAAGCAAAGCAGCCCGGTTCTCCCCTGAGCAGGTGTGTCTCCCCGCACACTGAGCTCTGAGCCCCCTTCTTGACGCAGACCAAGCTGAAGCCCAAGCGGGTCAAAGCCTTGTACAACTGCGTGGCCGACAACCCCGACGAGCTGACGTTCTCCGAGGGGGACGTGATCATCGTGGACGGCGAGGAGGACCAGGAGTGGTGGGTGAGTCTGGGCCGGGGCGGGGGGGGGGGGTCTTTCCCCAGGGGAGGCTGCCCTGCCCTGAGCAGCCTCAGCTGTCCTTTCTGTTTCTCCCCACTTCCGAGGGGTCCCCCCTGGGGTGGGCGGGCCATGTGGGCTGGTTTCCAGAGCGCACCTGAGGGTCTGCAAGGAGGACGTGGCCTTGGCAGTCTCGGGCTGCTGCCTCCTCCACAATGCAACGACAGATTCATGCTTTTTAAACTTTAGATTCTCACCAGCAGTGGATGTGTACTTACTTAGTTGCTAAGTTGAGTCTGACTCTCTGCGACCCCATGGACTGAAGCCCACCAGGCTCCTCTGTCCATGGGATTTCCCAGGCAAGAATACAGGAGTGGGTTGTCATTTCCTTCTCCAGGGGACCATCCCGACCCAGGGATCGCACTGGGTCTCTTCCATCTCCTGCTTTGGCAGGCAGGTTCTTTTTCTGCTGAGCCACCAGGGAAGCCCAGTGAGTGGACAGTGGAAACCTGAAGTCACAGCCAGCCTCTCAGCCTTTTTTTAATAGAAGTATACGGCATGGTGTTCCCTGGTGGCCTAGTGGGTAGAACTTGGTGTTTTTCACTGCCGTGGCCCCTGGTTCAATCCCTGGTCAGGGAACTAATATCCTGCAAGACACATGGCATGGCCAAAAAGAATAAGATAACTTTTCAGTTATTCTATATATTTTTTTAAAAAACGTATCAAGTGCAGAAATGCTGCCCGTAATCTCCAGGGCTCCTCCACTCATTAAAAAAATAAAATAAAATTTACATTTTGGTGCTTTTCTTTTAGACTTTTACTTACCTAATTTACATCATTGAGATCAGACTTGATATAGAACTTACATAATTTTCCCAGAGCAAAAGTGAATGATTTACTGAAGTCTCATAAATGCTTGCCTACATTTAAATAGGGCTCCCTCGTGTTTGCCACTTTCTGTGACTTTGAAGCTCACAAACTTCTGACATTCAGTCCCTTTGTCTATTGAAGAAACAAAAACACAGATGGGGGTGGTGGTCAGGTCCTGTCCTATGTGCCCCCCCAGGCTGCCAGGACTGTAGTGGGGGCGTCTTTGAGGGCACCGACTGGCCTTGAACAGGAGTTCCGAGTAGTAGGCAGGGACTGTTTGAAATGTGAGTAGAAGAAAAAACAGTTTAGATGTTTTACCCAAGTAATTCTTTCCCAGAAGTTCTTCCTGACAGATTTTTTTTTTTTTCCCCTCCAAATGCTAAAATGCCCTTCAGAGTTTCCAGCATTTGGAATTTTTATAACCACCTAACCGTGTACTCGTTTCAGATCGGCCACATTGACGGAGATCCGAGTCGCAAGGGAGCTTTTCCGGTGTCTTTTGTGCACTTTATTGCTGACTGAATTGCTACTGAAGAAAAACACTTCTTTTAAAAGTCATGTCCTGTTTCATTTTTGGTACCAGTACTCTTGCCAGATAACCTGTCTCATGACTTGTACCCTACCCACTTTCTCTAATGCCACTGTTCTGCTTTATAAACTCAAAAGGCAATTTATATATATATCAATGAATTGTTTTTATATTTTGTGTTTTTCATGAAACATTGCTATACTTTTATTAGGAAAAACTCAATTTCCTAAGAGGTGAACTGAAAAGTGATTTTTTTTTTTTCCTGAAAAGTGATTTTAACTACATAATCAAGCCTGAATCTACAGCATTAGCTGAACCTCAAAGTAGTTTGGAGTGTTGGGAAGAAATGCATCCTGCTTTTCTTGGCCCATTTCTTTAGTCGGTGACCTTTAGCACAGTTATTCTTTTTAGAAAGCCAGTGAACTTTTGCTTTCCAATTCTGCAGCTAATCTGCACTTTCTAGATAAAGTGCTTCAGTTCACCTTTAAAGACTTTTTTTTTTTTTTAAAAAAAGGATACCTTGAAAGATTTCCTTTGAAATCCACCCGACATTTATTTAAAGCAACTTGGGAGTGTATACATAAGCGTTGTATTTTCCAGCACCTGGTGTGTGAGGTTGCAGCTGTCATTGTATCCTGCATGAGTGTGTAAACTATTGTGAACAAGCCTACCTAAGCCAACTAGGGATGGTTTGCTATGGCATACGTCAGCTCCAGATTGTATAAAACTGCATTTCCTGAATTCGGTTGAAAACTAAAGATGACGGATTGCGACACGGTTCTTCAAGCTAGTTTATACGCTTTAGGGGTCCTGGGATTCGCTTTCTCGAGCCCCCTGGTTGCGGCCAGAGTACCATCACCGAGTCCTCGCTGTTTCCTGTTGAGTGTACCGCTGCCTTCCCTTCTAGCTCGAGAGAATGTTTCCTTGATTTAGTGTCTTGTATTCATAGAATATACCAACAGGAATGGTAGTTACACTGTCTTGCAATTTAATCTGTCCACTTGTTTGTAATCACGAACATATCAGAAATCTGTAGGTCCCAGGTAATAAAATAACCCCAGACATCCGGATTTCCTGTTGAAGTCCATCATATCGTTCTTAAACTTAAGCTACTAGGGGCAGGGGGGTGGGGGTTAGGTTGTATACGATAAAATAAAAACTCATTAGGTTTAATGAACTTGACTATCATACCTCTACTTAGTCATGGTGGGTGTAAGATTCAGAGTAGGTATGTTGAAAAATTTGGCGCTCTCTGAGAATAAATAGGCATATAATGCCCACTTAGATTTTTACCAAAAGCGGTAAATTTAAGGATAGGCTTGGAAAGCAAGGCGACGCTGTTTCTGCATGTCATGATGGTACATTTGATTGAAGCAGCCTGTCTTTATTATGCAAGACTCTTGTTGAGTGTAGAGCTTTTTTTTTTTTTAATTTCATTGTATTTTTTTTTTTCATTGATATTATAAAGGAAGACAGAACAAACTGGAATGTTTTATGATGTTGTATGGCAATTGCGTTTTTTGCCTTTCAAAGTTCCGGGTAAAAATGTGTTAGATCTGTAATTAAAGTCTTTATTTCTTTTTTTTTTAAGCACTACATCTGTTTTCACTAATTGTTCATTTCTGTTTTTGAACCCTTCATTAGTTAATTCTCTCATAGATTGAAGAACATAAACAGATGTTTTGCACAGTGCACTTCATATGTATATTTTAGCACAGCCCTCCCACATCTGTACCTTATAATCAATCAGCCTCTTGCCTACTTGGTGCCAGCTATATAAGGAATTAACGTTGATCCATATCAACAGTGGAACACCAGTCCCAAACTGATATATCAGGTTCACTGGTACATACATAAATATCTAGGAAATATTTTCCCAGTCTACAATTTGGTGGTGCTATTATGCAGTAATTAATATTACTCTTGCCGGAGGAGAAATTATATTAACTTCCCTACTAATGATGTCCTTTCCTAGTTATTTGCTCTTTGCAAATTAAAAAAAAAGCAACTGAGAAAAAGGAAAACACTGTAGATAAACTATTTATATTTAAAGTTTACGTTTTGTGACCTCAGCTGCAGGATTCTGGCATTTGGCATGCCATCCTCCATCAGGTCTGACCTCTAGGGATGGCAACTCAGAAATCTGTCCACGGACTGATGGTTAGCGTGTGATCTGTGAAGGGTGGGAACCACGACTGCAGCCTGGATGCTATCTGAGATGTATGATATTCAATTCATTCACTCGATTATTTCCGTCTAGTTGCAGCGCAACTGTATATATTGTATAACCTAAATCAGTTATTTTCATTGTCCTAATTAGAGCATGTTTAATAAGTTTACTCTTCTTGTTAACTAGTCATCTGACTGGAAAAAAATAAAATACTTTTAAATGGACGTGGTGTTTTTCATGTTTTTAATCTTTTGAGTGTTCAGTTGCTTCAGTAATGTCTGACTCTTTGCAACCCCATGGACTGTAGCTCACCAGGCTCCTCTGTCCATGGAATTTTCCAGGCAAGAATACTGGAGTGGGTTGCCATGCCCTCCTCAAGGGGATCTTCCCAGCCCAGGGATCGAACTACCACGTCTCTTTCGTCTCCTGAATTGGCAGGCAAGTTCTTTACCACTAGTGCCACCTGGGAAGCCCCCTTTAGTCTTTAGCAAAGCACTGTATATAAAAAGTCTTTTTAAAAAAAATACACTAGTCTACTGAACATGAAATTCTTCACAGTGTAGGACTTCTAACATGATCAGTAATCTTTGAGGGTTTTCAAAGATAATTACTGTGGTTTATATTGTGGTTTGCTAACAAGTTATCCTGACAACACACCTTTTAAAGTTTCCCTTTTTGTGACTTGAGTTGACAGCATCACTATTTCAAACCAGCATGATTTGTGGGTCCCTGGACCAGACCTCTGCCTGATTAGAGCTCCGAGCTGGTGAGACTGCATCGCCAGCCAGTGCTGCAGGACAGATGGCCTGGGTCTTCCTCAGAAAGTTCTCCATGTTCCTTACTCACCTAGGGTGCTTCTGTGACACATAAAAGTTTTCAGGCTTATTTGTGTCTAAAAGCGACAAATGATGTTGCTCTTTTAGTCCCAGTAGGTAGGTAACTTCAATGAGTTAATTTGCTGTTAAATAAGACACATTTTACTAGAAAAACAAATGACTGGTATTTTATACACTGCATTTTCTTCAGAAAATCGAGAGCAAAAGATTGCTCATATTTCCATAACAGTTCAACACTGCAGACTGGAAACAGAAACTATTGAGAAAACAGCTGAATTTGAACATGAAGCTTACTTCCCCCTTGCAGAATTCAAGGTTTCTCAGAAGTCAATACAGAGTCGAAAGCAGTGGATAAAACTTTGCAGATTGCTTGTGCTTGTTCCTACATTAAGTGAAAAGATACAGTAAAAGAATTAGTAAGTCTGTTCCCCAACTAGATCAGACCCTCCTAACGCCTGTCCTAAACCTACACACCGCCAGTGTGGGGACGTCCAGGACACGGCCTGCCTGGGTCACCACCTCCTGGGCCCCTTTAGTAACTGCACGTGGTCACAGGACCGCAGCCATTGGGAGGGACCCTCACGAGTCAGGACCACGAGGTGCAGGAAAGCAGGGCTGCCCGTGGAGGACACACCCCTTCCGCTCACCTGCTTTGCATTCACTCATGAGGCACGAGTGCTGCTTCTGGGCTAACAGCTCACAGCCTGCAGTAGGCTGGTCCGCTGGCTGACCTGCCGTCTGATACACGCATTCCCCTGTTATGCCAGGTATCAGACAACGTGGCAGACAGCATCTCTTCTGCCTTTGAAAAATCTAAAGAATCTGGTTTTACCACTTGGTTTGATGAATGAGACCTATAACCAAAGAGACTGAAAACCTTACCAGGCTGTTGCACTGGTAAACCCACAGGCTGTATTCTTGGTTGCTCGCATCTGTGGTCTTCAGAGCCAGTAAGCTCTTTCCTGCCCCAAGCCCGTCGTCATAACACACCATCCGGATGATTAAATACAGAGCGTGCCGATGCAGAACATCCTGCAGAGGTCAGGGGAAGAAGGACCATGCTGTTTCTTCACATGTCCACATTTTCCAGGGCAGAATTTACCGTGAGGCTTTAAACAGAACATGCCCATCAATGGATCTATCTGGCTGAACATAGTTTTTACAGGTTTTTCACCAAAAGGGACCTTGCGGTGAACTCGGTTAGGGGCCAATTTGCCTTTAGAATCATGCCTTCCTACGTAAGTTCTAGGAAGACTGAGACAATCTAAATTCATGGCCCTGTTTTCTACACCCAGCTGACAGCTGCTCTGAATTGGTGTGGGGTCCTAAGCTAAAAATGCATGACAGACCAGCCGTGGGTGTGGGGTGGTGGGGGGCTTGGGCCCTGTGCTTTGCTAAACCGCTTCAGTTGTGTCTGACTCTTTGAGACCCTGCAGACTACAGCCAGGCTCCTCTGTCCATGGAATTCTCCTGACCAGAGTACTGGAGCGGGTTGCCAAGCCTTCCTCCAAGGGATCTTCCCGACCCAGGGATCAAACCCTTGTGTCTTACATCTCCTGTATTGGCAGGTGGGTTCTTGGCCACGAGCACCACCTGGGAGGCCCTGGCTTGGGCCCAACACAGAAGCAAAAGCCTCTAATCATTTACTCTAGGAAACTGGTCACTTTCAAGGCCAGCTGCCAGGAACGACGAAAAACCAACCACTCTGCAAACAGGGGCAGATCTAACTACAAGAAGGCCATTCCTGGTCTGAACGCCCCAAACCCATTTTCTCCTTTAATTAAATTACTTACATACTGATCTGATGTGGACACTTTTATACCATACTTGGAAACTCCCATAATAAATTCTTCCTCCAGTGGAACAAAGGGCAACTTTCCATCTTGCTTTAAAGTAAAAATAAATTACATTTTAAAAAATTATGTTTCATTCTTGATTCTTATTAGTCAATTTTAGCATCTGGCCATCGCAAACCCAAACCCTTTAAAGAATGTGGGGGCACAGCCCTCTTCTCTCCAAAGAGGCATAAGAAATACCCCTCACTTTTTTTTTTTTTCCAGCAAGAAGTCCACAAATTTGACCAGAACTCAGATCCATGTGCCCCATGGTTAATGTTTGTAAACTGACACTCCTCACTGATACCAGTGGGGCTTATATATTTACACTAGAAAAATGTAAGGCTCCTTATTCAAAGTTTACTGTAACATCAGCAGGTTAAATAATAGGAAACACACTGTAGGAACCATTCTCAACTGATTTATATCCTACCCAGGTGTCGATATGTCTGGTTATTCCAGTGTCCCAGGGCTTTGGGCAAATAAACACAGCTTGATAAATGGTTTTTCGGCTCTTGAAAACATCCATCAGTATTTTGAACTCTTCAGAAACAAAGAGGACAGCAGATAATGCCTGATGGTTTTCCTAGCAGATTATCACATTTTATCTCCTTAGTGTGCCTGACTTGTCTTCTCTAAAATAAAAACGATACTGTCAACCATCAGCAGATGTTCCACACGGTCAACGTTTTTGTGGAACCATTTGCCTGCACTGAAGAAATTACAGTCATGAGCGGTGTCCACCTACCCTAGTTCTTGGGTCCTCACACGCAAGCCTACCCTCATGCCTATCACCTCTCTCACAGGATAAGGGAACTCCAAGAATCCATGCAATGCTACAGTTGTGGAGTTCTGACAAGCCCAAGTTTACAGTCCTGTGAGAGACAGCAGCCCCTGTAGGTGTGAAAATAATCCTAGCATACTTTGTGGGGAGGCGGCGGGGAGCATTATTAGCAAACTTTCAGGAGACTATTAGTTGTTGCTTGCACAATGTTGGAATGACTGTATAGATTCCAAAGTAAAATGCTGGGATAATCGTGTTAGTTGCCTCGTCAACGGCGGATTAGACTGGCTGATTTCTTCTCAGACAGAGGAGACTTTCTTTAGGAGGACATGAAACGACATGTGAAACAAGCTCGCTTCCATGCGTTAAGAGACCACATGATCTTAAAAGTGACCAACACTCTATAAATTTGGTAAGGGAACCTTCCCATTGCAGTAATATCCCTTTGTTCATGGACACAAAGATGGGCAGTTCCATCTTCTAGAGACTCGGGGAGCAACTGACTGTGGACAGTGTTCAGGCTTCCAGCTCATCCACTCCCTTCACTGATAAAGAGTACCGACCTCACAATACTTTATGCACAAACCTTACACCTTTGTCTTCATTTTCACTCTAAATTTTCCTTCATGATGAATTTATTCTTTTATTTTCTCGACTGGGATATATTTTCAAAACCCACCTCACCTCAATCCTTGTTGGAGATAGGGTATGAATAGAGAGATATGGGAGTCCAACACCATGAATGAGATTGCTCACTCGAATAACTGAAAATAGCTCCATGGAGCCACAGTTAAGATTTGCTGGAGTGTTCTAAAGCTAAGCCTTAGTGCACACGCTAAGTGAGTGTGCACTCACTCACTGTGCTCAGCTCCCCCTTTAAACAAAGAGACGTCCTCAGTCAGCCCCACAAGAGTGAAAAACCACTGTCTGAAGGAAGGAACTAAGTCCCTGTGTTCCTCTGTGACTCGGTCCCCGGGTCCCTCCTCTGACCACAGTGCTCAGTGACATCTTAACAGTGATAAAAGCGTGGCTTCAGGAGAAGCAGTGAAGAGACTGGAAGAGTGTCGCCTCTCTCCAAAGCCACAAATTCACCCCAGAATCTGAGAAAATAGAACTTTTTTTTTTTTTACCTGAGCAACATCTATATAATTTATCAGATCCAGTGGCCCTTCGAGACTTTTCCCCTCTGAGAGTTTCAGTTTCTCAATGGCACCAACATACTTTATTCGAAATTCTGCACAGGTGTCTGAATTGTTGTTGCTTTGTCCTAAAGGTAAAAGAAAAATCATAAGACTTCAAAAGAAACAGCTGCATTACAGGGTATCTTTAACCCCTCCCCATATAGGAAATTGACTATCATTAGAACTAAACCTTTAATAAAAATTAAAAATTTTTAAATGCAAACTTTTTGATGCAATGGGAAAGAACGTTTTCCTCAGTGGCTCACAATGTACTAAATATGTAAGATCTCAGTAGGAATAAATTAAGTATTAATAGCCTTCACTTCTTCAAAAAGAAGAAAACTAAAATGTCAACTTGACAATGATTGAGCACCTTTATAATGCATATGACATTTGATCATTTTTTTGGTTTCTTCTCCCACTTTCCCATGTGAACTTTTTCTTTCCTGACTCAGGAAACCTGATCTCTCTCTCCCATTCGGCCAGAAAAGACCAGGCTTTCTTTCCCCCAGTGTAGGTGGAGTAATGCCAGACAGGACCAGATGGTAACAGGTGAAGAACTCCATGTGCCATAAAGTCCAGCCAGTACAAGGTACCACAAAGGATTTACGACATCTGACATAGTAAGGGAATACTATGTGGTCATTCTTAGATCATGTTTATGTAATACAAAGATGCCCACATTTTTAATATTTCAAAGCATCTGGAAGTAAAGACAACAGACCTTATGCTACCATATCCCCCTTTCCACCTCTCCTACTCTCACCACCTTGCATGGACTGTGTTGTTTGTGATCCCAAAAGAAGTAGAAGGATTTTGTATAACAAAATGAATGTAGTCGGTTTCCAATTAGACATCAGCTAACAGGTGGGTAGGAAGCCACCTTTGATTTCTAGAGAGCTACTCCTTTCAGGAAGCTGCATAAATGTTTCCAAGGGCCAGTGACAGACCCCTGCTTATAACCGTGTGCTCCTGATGTTAACCAGCTGGTACATCTCTGGGTACAAGGCTCCTTAGTCTTTTTAATCAGCAGGACATTGTCCCACCCCCTGCAAACAATGTAACTCCAAAATAATTCGCCCTCCGCCAGCCCACTTCTTAACAAAGCTATTCTAATACTTCTAAACTGTCACCACCATGTAGCCACACATAATTTTGCTCCACAACCGTTAACGAGCAGTTTGCTCCCGTGGCTTTCACCACCCATTCCTTATCACAACTCACCTTCCACCAGATCCTGGACCATTTCTAAACTCTTGTCAAAAATGACACAGCAGAGAAAGAAAACCCCAAATAGTCAAGAACTCCTTGTCCACTCTGGTAAAACCATGTGAACTTCAGTTAAAAGCCCAAGATGATAAATGATCCCACCTCCGTCCATACCTGAACTCTTAGTGGAATCGGTGTCAAGGCTTGCCACGGTGCTGGACCGTGAGAGCCCGCCAAGGCTGGAGTCTACAGACTAAGAAATAACAATCAAACAACAAACACAAACATTTTAAACATAATTAGAAGCACTATTTTCTTTCAAATTCTCTACCAAACATTCAAATGACTTATTTACTATCACTGAATTAACACATATAAAATCAGGTCAGTTATTTATGCAGATCGACTATGACATTATTTTGAAGACAAATTCCATAGCAAACTTTAAAAAAACAAACAAACATAATCCCAACTGCTCTTCCCATAGCACATGTCTGGAATCAACACTTTTTAAAATTAAAGCCATTACCTCTATAGCCTTATAGGAGAGTTGATATTTACATCGTATTGACACTTGAGATTTCACATTGTATGTGAAAATCTATACTTCACTTTCATATTATTTCCAAAGAACCCAAGAAAAACTCTGTGCAGAATGCAGGCAGGGAGTGCTCTCCTGTTTAGTAAATGAGTGGAGACGCAGAGTGGTGAAGTGATCTGCCCAAGGTTCCGTCTACTCACCCCAGACCTCAACCCCACGTCTCCTGACCCTCACCCCAGTAACACAATGCCTCCAACTACTACCTGGCCCCAGCAGGTAAACACAGGTAAAGCGGCAGACCAGAGAATAACTGTGATGTGAATTACAAAGAAAAACCAACGAAATTGTTCAGCAAAATTCAAAGAATCATATGTGTCAATGTAGTTTGTTCTACAGTATCATACTCTTAGTATGCTTAATTTTTTAGAAATAACAGTAAAAACCTTTGATTAAAAAAAAAATAATCACTTTTTGGGAATTCCCTGGTGGGCCAGGGGTTAGGACTCAGCACTTTTACTGCTGGGGCCAAGATTTGATCCCTGGTTGGGGAACTAAGATCCCGCAAGCTCCATGGGTCGGCCAAAAAGAAAAAAAAAAAAAATCACTTTTTTACACTTCAAATCAAATTAAATTTTACAAGTACAGTCAAATTTTTAGGTGTTTAAGAAGTGAATCAAAATCAATGTAAAAATGTATTAAGTCTTCAGTTTTATTTCTTCCCTTTCTTAATAACTGCATTTCTGGGAATCTCAAACAAGAGCAGAGCTATGTGCACAGAAAGGGTCATCATCACGTTGGGCTTCCCCTGTGGCTCAGCTGGTAAAGAATCCATATGCGGGAGACCTCGGTTTGATCCCTGGGTTGGGAAGATTCCCCTGGAGAAGGGAAAGGCTACCCCTCCAGTATTCTGGCCTGGAGAATTCCATGGACTGTAGAGTCCATGGGGTCGCAGAGTCAGACATGACTGAGCGACTTTCACTTTCAAATAAGAGCTGTATGAACAGAGACGGTCATCATCATGTTTGTGTGGTCCTGACAACCTGGAAGAAACCCGAATATTCAAAGAGTGAAGGAAGGGGACCTGGAATTAAGATGCTGTTACAGAGTCAGGCTGCCTTCTGGGAAGGGAGTAACATAGTGAGCTTTTGTGCTTCCAGTTACCCCCACACGCAGGAGAAGGCCAGAACCTAGCGACCCCCTGAGCAAGGAGGAAGGGAAGGGAGAAAGTGGCCTATTTCCCCTGGTTCTGAATGACAAGAACAGAAGCTTACTTCATTCTAGAGCACACGTCTAACGGACACAGGCCTGCAGAGAAGCCACACGAGACTCCCCGTCACTTGGGGGTAAGACCTCACTCCAGGGCACGGGTCTTCCTGCACCCCTCTGGACCCCCACCCTGCCGGGGCAGCAGGTCCTTGAGCAATCGGCACACGAGCTCTGGTCCAACTCGGCCACCAGCAGGTCCATGCATCTCCCCTTCTCCATTTTCTGATCTAGAAAACAGCAAACTGGGCCCAGTTCAAGCCTGCGGGCCTCACACTGAGCTAACAGCGGGGCGGTTCTCGACGAGCTTCAGGAGTTTAGATGCCTTAAAGAAAAACTTAGTCACCCCATTCCCAGACTGCACAGGACTCTGAAAATGTCAGGTTTCCGTGGTTTGGGCTACATGCTGAGAGCTCGGCCCTCCCGCCGGATGGAAATTTCTGCAGGGTAGTGGGGTCGTGTTCTTCCCTGAGTGTGCTATCCTCACCCGGGGCGCTGCCCACAGGCTGGGGAGAGGCACCTCCTGGAGGTGCTGGGCCTTGGGCTCCTCTCCTGCCCCCTGCCTCGCCCAGTCCAGGTTCTGGGCACAGACACCTTTCACAACTGGGAGCTCACAAGGGTGAGGAATGATTTTAAGAAGGCTTTCGAGTCCTGGGGGCTTCCCTGGTGGCTCAGCTGGTAAAGCATCTGCCTGCGATGCAGGAGACTCGGGTTCAATCCCTGGGTCGGGAAGATACCCTGGAGAAGGAAATGGAAACCTACTCCAGTATGCCCTGAAGAATTCCCTGGACAGAGGAGCCTGGAAGGCTACAGTCCATGGGGTTGCAAAGAGTCAGATACAACTGAGCGACTTCAGTTTCAGTTTTCTAGTCCTAGTCCAGTGGGCCCAGTGGGCCAGGACTCGGGACTCTGAGTACCCTGCACACTCAAATCAGCACATCTGCCTCACTCTCCAACTCACTCCCCGTCGTGGACATAGAATTATAATGACACACACACACCTCAAGCCCTAGAATTCAAGACATCCAGTTCCTTGACTGCCTGTCAATTTCCTTGACCAGTGTTTCAATGAGACCTCTCACAGGTCCCAATTCATCTACATTAGTGGATTTAAGGACATCAGAAAAATCTACCAAAACAAAATAAAATTAAACCAAACAGGATGTATCTTGTGCAAAAAAAAAATTTAAAATCCCCAGTTTGAAGAACATCACAGGTCTGCCATGCTTAGTACCTTTCACGCACCATTGCTCAGAAGAAACAGTTCTCACTGTTAAGGCCGCGGTCTCCACTCCACCACCTACCTTGCTCTTGGTACTGATTTCACTGCTCTGGGAACTGCTACTGCTGTGGCGCTTTTTGCCTTTCCGAAACATCTTCCACCATAGCTTGATCCACAGGCTCCTCTGTAAGAGCAAGCATTGTTTAGATATATGGAGAGAAGCAACTTTAAATCTCTTTACACATAATAGGAATAAAATTAAATAATAACCACCAATTCCTCCCAGTTCCCTGGTATACTCCTTTTCCTTAAAACATAAATATTTCCCGCCAACCCACAAAATTTGGGTACTATTTCATTCTTTTATTTTTCTTTTTCTGGGAGCCGTGACTGACGGTGAGGCCCGCTCGCCGCCGCCCCGGCCCCCTATTTCATTCTTATTCTTTTCTTGAATCACAAAGTTTTAACCCAGTGAACCTGAAAGGTAGGAACCTTTTTGTCGTCTCTAGAAGTATGAAAAGCACCAATCAGAAGTACCAGACACACACACACACACAAAAAAAGAAGTACCAGACACCTGTCATCTAGTCCTCAAAATAGTCAAGTGCCTGCCTTCTCTTTAATCAAGCCCAGACGTTAGTAAAATATGTGACATACTAGTTTATCAACCAAGATTCTGAGATCAGTTACCGTCTCCACTTCCTGTTCTGTAAACAGCAGGGCCAAAAACTGAAAGCACTGATGCCTCTGGGGTTTGGTGCATTTTTCATAAAGTCGCAAACTATGTTTAGGGAAAGGCAGACATGACGATAATGTCAGGTGCTACCTCCAGTAAGGCCAGGAAGGAGGTGACCTAAATATCCCAGAGTCAGCCTTATGTAGATCTTTAATGAACTATTTATCCTTGACCATTTCATAGGAGCAAGCATATTATACTTGAACAATGATGAACTGGCCCGAGAAATGTTTCATAGTTCAAGTGCTTTCACAGTGTCTCACTTAATCCTCACAGCATCTGGAGACACCCAGAGTCTGATCCAAGTGTTCTCTGAGGGTCTGCCTGCTGCTGTATCCTGCTGGGCTCTGCCCCCAACCCCCAAAGGGGTTCACAGAAGGGAGGTTAGAATCCACCTTTCACAAATGAGGGAACTGTGACCCATCTTTCAGGAGAATGTATGAATTCGAGAAACTAACAAATGTTTACTAAAGACTGACTCTACAGAGGGAAAAAGGGGTCTGCTTACTGCAGGATCGAATACTATTCTACCGTCTTCAAAGGTTCCACAGACAGCAGTCTGCAAAGATAGCTTCTTTTCATTCTGACATGGTCAACTCTTGACAGAAAAACAGGGTACCTGATGAAGGAAAAGAATAAGTAAATCAGTGAATGTCCCTCTCCAATGAAGAGTTTCTCCCAGTGAATCGGGAGATACTCCCCTCCCTGCCCCCACCACCAAGTCCACTCACAAGCATCTGACCCTAGACTTGACTCCTGAGCCCAAGCATTTTGATCAGCCCCATCATCCAATTTATGTCTATATTTTTGCTTCATTTGTGGAGTAGCAAGAACACCCAACTCATTCATTCATTCATTCTTTCCTCAGTGGTCAGCGAGCACCTACCAGCTGCTGGGACTACACCAGTGAATAAGACAGATAAAGTCTCTGACCTCAGGGAACCTATTTTTTATTTATTTTTAATTAATTTCATTTTTTTCTGTGTGGGACCTTAGTTCCCCCATCAGGAATCAACCCCGTGCCTCTCTGCACTGGAAGCATGGAGCCCTAATCCCTGAACCACCGGGGAAGTCCGGGGAGCTCATTTTTACAGGGAGTAGCCAGACCAACGTGAAAACCAAGTATCAAACACATTATTTGGAGATGATCATTGCTCTAAGGGGAACTAAAGCAAGTTAAGGAGATAGCGATCAAAGGAAGGGGTGATTCTTTGGGACAGAAAAAAAGATGTTCTGAGGAGGTGAGAGCTAAGACCTGAGAGAAGCAGGAGCGGACACGACGTGGAGGAGAAGCACCGTGAATGGAGGACACGGCAAGCGCAGAGGTCCCGAGGGATGCCATTTGACGTGAGGACCAGTGAGACGCCAGGGCGACTAAGAACAGGAGGTGGAGGGACCGGGGCAGGCGAGACAGAGCCACAGAACACCTCGCAGGCCACAACAGAAGCTGGGGTTTATTCTGGGTTTCACAGGAAGACTCTGTAAGGTTTCAAAGAGCAGTCGGGTGGTACGATCAGATTTCTGTTTTAGAAACGTGACTGGCTGCTGGGCAGGGAACTAGCTACAGAGAGAGCCTAAGAGTAAAAAGAGGGAGACTACTGAGAAAGCTTTGGTGGGTGACTTGTTGGATAACTTTGTTGCCGACGACAGCTTCGCCATTGCAGGATACTTTTCTGTTAGAGAAGGCAAGAGCGCCTTATTCCAAAGTCTGCCCCAAACTGGGTTACCCTAGCAGCATAAAGTACCATAATCTGATGGGTTAAAATGTTGTTGTATAGCACATTTAAGCACATTACATTTCAAGTCTCTCTATATATATCAATTTTAATGATTTTTAAAAATTTGATAGTATTATTATGGATTCCGAAAGCATCTATTCAAACCCCTAGAATACTAGAATGATTCGAAGGTCACTACATCATAAGGCCTTGGCAACTCCTTAAGACTTTCTTTTTTCATCATTAGTCTAGGAGCTGTAGGGGGAAAGCACTTATGAAAGCCTTTGATATCTGCCACTATTTTGATTTTTCTTAATTAAGCAAATCACTCTCGTCTCTGAATTACTCATGCATAAAAATGAGGCCAAAAATACTGCCACTTGGATGTTGCACAAACTCATCAAAGGCAGAAATGCCTAAAGCAGAACCTGTCTTCCCCTCTACACCTGCTCCTCTCCCTTTCAGTAAATCACATTATTTCTGGTAGAAAGTGAGAAACCACCGACCCCTCACTGTCCTCCTGCCCCACATCCAGTTAAACCCAAGATGCACTGATTCTACCATCTGTAGATTATACCATTCATGAATCAAATGGGGCCTGCATTGTTCTAGACTATGGTTACATAGAAATACTTTTTCATTATTGATGAAAGTGATAGATCCTTAACTCATAAAAAAATGCAAAAAGTCTGGAATGCAATTTAAGGAATTCACCAGCCTCCAGGAGACATTTCAAGGGAGAGGGACCCTGTCCTGAGACAGGTTGGGTCCTGGGACCTTTTGCTGCAATGCCTGCACCTGGACAAATGCCTCCTTAAGCAATAAAATATGAAGAAACTATATGGAACTAAAAATAACTGTGTGCATGCATGCACAAATGTCTTGGAGGAAAAGCTATGACAAACCTAGACAGCATATTAAAGAGCAGAGAAATGGCTTTGCAGACAAAGGTCCATATAGTCAAAGCTCTGATTTTTCCAGCAGTCATGTATAGATGTGACAGTTGGATCATAAAGAATGCTGAGTGCCGAACAATTGATGTTTTTGAATTGTGGTGCTGGAGAAGACTCTTGAGAATCTCCTGGACAGCAAAGAAATCAAACCAGTCAATCCTAAAGGAAATCAAACCTGAATATTCACTGGAAGGACTGATGTTGAAACTCTAATACTTTAGTAATCTGATGCAAAGAGCTGACTCATTGGAAAAGACTGATACTAGGAAAGATTGAAGGCAAAAGGAGAAGGGAGCAGCAGAGGATGAAGACAGTAAGATAGTATCACTGACTCAACGGACATGAATCTGAGCAAATTCTGAGAGATAATGGAGGACAGGAAGCCTAGAGCGCTGCAGTCCACGGGGTCACAAAGAGTAGAACACAACTTAGCAACTCAATAACAACAATACACGTGCAGTTGGGGCAAATTCTGGACAAGACACAAAAAGACCAAAAACCCATGTGCCACTTCTGAAGAGCAAAAACAGGGTACTGCACATGCCTCCTGCACTCACCACCACTAAGTTCAGTTCAGTTCAGTTGATCGGACGTGTCCAACTTTTTGCGACCCCATGGACTGCAACACGGCAGGCTTTCCTGTCCATCTCCAACTCCTGGAGCTTGCTCAAACTCATGTCCATCGAATTGGTGATGCCATCCAACCATCTCATTCTCTGTGTCCCTTTCTCCTACTGCCTGAAATCTTTCCCAGCATTAGGCTCTTTTCAAATAAGTCAGTTCTTCGCATCAGGTGGCCAAAGTATTGGAGTTTCAACTTCAAAATCAGTCCTTCCAAGGAGCAAGCGTCTTTTAATTTCATGGCTGCAGTCACCATCTGCAGTGATTTTGGAGCCCAAGCAGAGAAAGTCTGCCACTGTTTCCACTGTTTCCCCATCTACTGGCCATGAAGTGATGGGGCTGGATGCCATGATCTTTGTTTTTTGAATGTTGAGTTTTAAGCCAGCTTTTTCACTCTCCTCTTTCATTTACATCAAGAGGCTTTTAAGTTCCTCTTCACTTTCTGCCATAAGGGTGGTGTCATCTGCATATCTGAAGTTACTGATATTTCTCCTGGCAATCTTGATTCCTGCTTGTGCTTCATCCAACCCGGCATTTCACATGATGTACTCTGTATAGAAGTTAAATAAGCAAGGTGACAATAAGCAAGGAGTACCTTGAGGTACTCCTTTCCCGATTTGGAACCAGTCTGTTGTTCCATGTCTGGTTCTAACTGTTGCTTCTTGACCTGCATATAGATTTATCAGGAGGCAGGTAAGGTGGTCTGGTATTCCCAACTCTTTAAGAATTTTCCAGTTTGTTGTGACCCACAGTCAAAGGCTTTGCAGTAGTCAATAAAGCAGATGTTTTTCTGGAACTCTCTTGTTTTTTTGATGATCCAACGGATGTTGGCCATTTGACCACCACCAAAGGGGTGGGCAAAACACCTAAAGCCACCCCTCCTGGCCCCTAGACACACCCCTACTCATTGGCCAAGCTTTACCTGAATTTCTTGACTAGCCTCTTATCAATTTATATTGATTAGGGAAGGCTAAGACCACTGGTTGGTATCAGTCCCAGCTGGACTTCTTGCCATTTCAAATCTATCACCAAGCTCCAGCTAAAATGATTTATTTAAAACTCAAGTCAGATGCTATGTAACCAATTTAAAATCTTTCACTGGCTCCTCAAAGTTAAAGCCTGAAGTCAAGGCTGTTTGCCAGGACAAGCACAGTCGGTCCTAAATGACCTGGCTCACCTTGACCTCTCCAGTCTCGTCTTCCACAATCAGCTTCACAGTCACTTAATATGGAAAGAATGGCACAGCTGCCTGAGGTTCTCAGCATGCATTATGCTCCCGGTTTCCACACTTTGCTCCTGCTGTTCACTCTGCCTACAATACACTTTCACCTTCTACTTGATCACTAACTTCGGTCACCTGTTAAGACTCAGTTCAGACTTCTCTTCTAGAAAGCCTCCAAGTTGGGCTAAGGGATGGTCCTCCACATCTTGATTTTAGCATGCGTCGGCTACTGCCCACTTGTAACTATCTCAGAACTGAGAGTGCATCAAAGACCAGGGCTAGGTCATCTCTGTGTACCCGACGTCTGGCACAGCCTGTCAGAGGCCATGCTAGTCAACTAGAGAACTTTCTTGTGAGATAATACCCAGATGACAACTTCCACATACTGAATACCTACCATTTGCTGCCCAGTGCTAAGTGTCATATACATATATACATAGAGGTATCTACATGTATATGTATGTGTGTGTGTGTTTCCCTGGTGGCTCAGCAGTAAAGAATCCTCCCGCCAATGCAGGAGCCTGGGGATCGATCCCTGGGTGGGGAAGATTCCCTGGAGAAAGCAATGGCAACCCACTCCAGTATTCTTACCTGGGAAATCCCATGGACAGAGGAGCCTGGAGGGCTAACAGTCCATACTCAGTAGCTTAGTCGTGTCCGACTCTTTGTGATCCCAAGGACTGTAGCCCGCCTGGTGCCTCCATCCATGGGATTCTCCAGGTAAGAATACTGGAGTGGGTTGCCATTTCCTTCTCCAGGGGATCTTCCCCACCCAGGGATCGAACCGCTGTCTCTTACATCTTATACATTGGCAGGCAGGCTCTTTATCACTAGCACCACTTGGGAAGCCCAAAGTCCATGGGTCGCAACAGAGTCAGACACTACCAAGAGACTAAAAAACCACAAAAAATGCTATATATATATATATATATATATGTCCTTATGCTGTATATACAGTACCTGTGACCCTCTCTAATGACCAGCAAGGTTGCAATATTACAGCCCCTTTCAAACGAGGCAGCCAAAGCTCTAAGTTTATTAAGCAGCTTGCCCAAGGCCACAAGGCTAATAATCAGTTCAGTTCAGTCACTTAGTCGTGTCTGACTCTTTATGACCCCATGGACTGCAGCACACCAGGTCTCCCTGTCCATCACCAACTCCTGAAGCTTGCTCAAACTCATGTCCATCACGTCGGTGATGCCATCCAACCACCTCATCCTCTGTGGTCCCCTTCTGCTCTCGCCTTCAATCTTTCCCAGCATCAGGGTCTTTTCCAATGAGTCAGTTCTTCGCATCAGGTGACCAAAGTATTGGAGTGTCAGCTTCAACATCAGTCCTTCCAATGAATATTCAGGACTGATATCCTTTAGGATGGACTGGTTGGATCTCCTTGTAGTCCAAGGGACTCTCAAGAGTCTTCTCCACAGTTCAAAAGCAACAATTCTTCCGCGCTCAGATTTCTTTCTTTATTTCCAACTCTCACACGATAGAGGCCAAATCGGGAACCTCGGCAGAGCTGCCGCCAAAGCTCCCTGCAGACCCCATCCAGCTCCCCAGGTATTCGTCGCCGTCGTGAGCGCCTGCCACGTGCTGGTGCGCTGGACGACAGACAGACAGACACGGCCCCAGCCCCGCCGCGCTGCGGGGAAAATCCCAGCGCGCGGAGAAACCGACAGGATCCCGCACAAAAAAAGACGGCAGCCCTTCGTCGCCCTGAGCTCAGATCAGGGCCGGGCGCTGGGAACAGCCCCGCGGGTGCTCGCACCCCTTCGCCTTCCGACTGGACCCAGCCAGACGCCACACCCGTCGTCACCGGGGCCGCAGTCCCACCCCAGACAGGGATCGGCCCAGGGCCCTGCCTCCACCGGCAGGCCCAGGCCCGCTGCGCGGCTCCCGCCGCCAGACTGGCGCTGCCCTCGGGGTCCGGGGCCCGGGACAGGCTGGTCCCTGCGGAGATTGCGGCACCACCCATCCGCCCCGAGCCGCTGCCCTCCCCGCCGGCCCCACCCTCGGGGCCAGCGTTCCTGACCACGCTCGGCCTGAGCGCGGCGACGGCCGGGCTCTCACCTCCGCGCCCTTCGCGCTCAGGCGTCAGGCAGCCACCGCCCGGGCAACCGGAGGAGCCCCGGCGGCTCCTCCGGTTCTAATTCCAGCACCAGCTCTTCCGGCCCCTGAGCCCCGCCCACCTGGCCCCGCCCCCGAAGCCTCGCGCAGGCGCAGTCCGGACCCCGCCGCAGGTCCCGGGATGCCTGGGCGGGGAGAAGCCTTGCGAGTTGGGTTCTGCGAACGGAAGTCGGAGGGAGGAACCTAGTGTCTCGGGCGCCGAGATGCCGGAAGTTGTGCTCTCGTGGGATGGAGTGGGGGTGGTTCTTCCGTCTTAGGGTCTCTGTGTCTTTTTTTCTAGTTTAGAAAGACTCCTGCGACCTGTTGTTCTTCATTCCCGTTTGGACTTCTGAGATGTCCGCGATTCCTGCAGAGGAGAGTGACCAGCTGCTGATCCGACCCCTGTAAGGGACCTGAGAGGGACTGAAGCCGTGACTGTGAGCCGAGGAGGGGAACCCGATGGTTGGCCTCAGTCGCCCCCCACCCCAGGCCCGCTTGCCTCGGCAGCCTGCCCCTGGCTCGCAGCTGCGGGCAAGGCCTCTGCGGCTGCAGCGGTTTGAAGAACTGTGAATCGGAAGGGGCCTGCTAGGTTGAATAGGATTTTGCTTTGTCTTCAGTCTCAAGGGAGGATAGGATGTTGGGTTTGGGGGACGAGAGAGTGGAAAAAGGGCCTATGGTGGGATCGCAGGGCGCTTTCGCATACGCCCAAGAGGGGCGACTCGTGAGGGAACCAGGGATGCTGGGGATAGCAGGGTGAGATGATAACCTGGATAAGGCTGTGACAGCGCGAGGAAGAACTAAACTTGTGCCTTATTAACCTCTAGGACTCATATTTGCCGAAATGTGAAAGGGGAAATACATTAGGGAACTTGTGAGTTCCATTCAGAGCTCAAACTCTCCTGGAATAGGGAAGGTAGAAAGTGGGAGAGATGAAAAGGCAGAAATGTTAGGACAATATCTCAGCCGTTGATTGACCGTGAGAGGGCTTGTCTTTCATTGGAAATGGCCTTCTGTCAGAGAAGCACCATATGGACCTGGAATGCTGCTTAGAGAAATGAGAGCTTGCCTGACTGCGCAATTTGAATTCACAAACATGTTGATTGTTAGACATGAGTTAGCATCAAGTGAACACGTGCATTTTCCCAAAGGTAGAAAGTATCTCCTTCTCTTGTTCATTCAATAACTCCTGGAGCACCTACTGGGGATGGAACACAAGTTTGCCCGCCGCTCACTTCACACCTGTCGTTTCTTCTTGTGTTCAGCAAACTCTGAGCGAGTGTCAAGCAGCACACTAGGCACTCGGGATACAAATAAGGCGGGGCTGAGTTAGCTGGATTCACCCTTTTGATGGGAATTGCAGTGCCAAGTGAAAAGTGCTGGAGAGAGAGTTTGGAATAACTGCAGCCAATTGCTTTGGAGTCAGACCTGAAATCCAGTCCATACTCCAGTGATTACTAGGACAACAGCCTCACAGAACCCTTTTCCTCCTGGGGAAATAGTTGAGCAGCACTTAGCTGTGCAGAGCAGAGCTCCTGGTAGGCGCTCAGTGAGTTGTGACCGCTGTAAGAGGACACACAGGCGTTGCACTAAGACCCTGAGAGTGTGCAGAGTGGGCTTCCAGTGAGAAGACAATGCCATCCTGCGCCCTGGAAATCAGGACACTGAGCTGAGTCCTAGAGATTGACTAGAAATCAAAGACAGCCGAAGCTTGGGGGCAGGGATGTTCCAGGCTGAGAAAGTGGCACATGTGAAAATGAGAGGTCTCTCTGTGGCCAGTCTCCCTATGGGTGCAGCGAAAAGACAGCAGATGAGATGGTAGAGGCTCTCAGAGTCCAGCTTATGAAGGACCTTGGATACATACATACCAAGGATTTGGAGTCTTTATTGCCAGTTATAGGGAGCCAAGGAAGGGTCTTAAGCAAGGATGGGATGTGGTGGAAATTATGCTTTAGGAGGATCAAAGATGCCTCTGGCAGCAGTGGCACAGATGAATTAAAGGTGTATTAAGGGACTTCCCTGGTGGTCCAGGGGTTAAGACTGAGCTGCCACTGTGGGGGATGCAGGTTTCATCCCTGGTCGGGGAACTAAGATCCCTCATGCCACGTGGTGTGGCCAAAAAAAAAAAAAAAAGGTGGATCAAGTGGAGAGAATCCAGTAGGATGAGATTGAAACAAACCAAGTGATAAGCAGTGAGATCTTGAAATGAGTGAAATGAGCAGCAGTGGGTTGGAAAGAGAGCCCTGAGAGAGTAAAGAAGTGAAATTTTAGAGCTTTGTCAGTGATCAGATACGTTAGAAGAGGCAGATGTGGAAGGGAAGGCAGGGCAGAGAGGAGAGTTATGATAACTCCAGCTCCCAGGTAGCATAATTGGTAAGTGGTGGTGTTACTCCAGGAGTACCTGAGATGGGGCAGGTCTGGAGTAAATTTAGGAGTTTTAAATTCTTTTATAACAGCCTTATTGAGATTGAAATCAGCACATTCATTTAAAGTGTACAGTTAAACAGTTTTTAATCTATACAGAGTTTTATAATTATCACCACTGTCTCATCCAGGACATTTTCATCATTCCAGAAAGAAACCGTGTATCATTGCCCTCCAACCTGCCCAGTCCTCAGCCACCGTTAATCTCTTTTCTGTCTCTGCAGATTACCCTGTTTTGGACATTTCATGTAAATGGGTTGCAACATGTAATCTTTTGAAACTGGCTTCTTTAATGTAATGTTCCCAAGTTTCCTAATTTACGAGTTTTTACTCATTCAATAAGTTTTTCTTGAGATTTATTGCATGTCAGGCACCTTACTGTATAGTAGTGAATGAAATAGATGTCTGTGCTATTATGGAGCTTTCACTTTAATAGAAATAAGCCATAAATAAGTAGATATAATGACATCATGTAGTAATAAGTGTTAGGATAGAGTGGTCTGAAGAGCAAATGAGGTGACATTTGAACTGAGACCCAAATGATACACAGGAGCCAATTATGTCAATATCAGGGCAGAGTGTTCCAGAAAGAAGAGCACGGGCTAGGGACTTGAAGTGCAGACTTGTTTGGCATATTTGAATATTAGGCACCTGTGAGATGTCCCAGGAGAGAGACCAAAACCAGGTGACTGTTAGAGATCTGGGGTTCAGGAGAACAAATATCTGTATCTGGACTACAAATAGAGAATTGGAAGTCCTCAGTGTGTTAAAGATGTGAGGCTGAAGATCAAAAAGACCGAGAAAGGAGCCGAGGAGAGAACCTTTGGAATAACAGCTTTTGAAAGATGGGTAGAGGCAACTGCATGAAGGAAACTGAGGAGGAAACCAGCGGGACAGGATGAGAGCGTGAAGTCAAGAAACCAGGCCTAGAGAGGGATGGACTAGGACAGATGACGTGCTGCCTGAAGAAGAGAGATAGGAACTGAGAAGGGCTCTTTGCACTTAGCAACGAAGAGCTGTTTTTCAGGGAGAGTTTCAGAGGGATGGTTGGTAAAAAGCCAGAATTCAATGTATGCAACCTTTAGTAAGCGGACAGGGAGACTAGAGATTAGAATTAAGGGATTTTCATCTGGGGACAGGATGACTGGCATGTTTAAATGCAGATATCAAAAAGGATAGTAAGGGGAAAGCCGGTGATGTAGCAGGGGTCAGTACCTCAGAGGGAGGGAGGGAGTAGGCAGAGTGTAGAACCATGGTGAAAAGGCTAGCCTTACAGAGAGAGGTCTGTTCTCTGTTCCAGAAGTGGAAGAAGAGAAGGATGTGAGTGCATTGGCAAGTTGAGGGAACCGACAAACTGTAATTTTTTGATACAGACAGCCCATGACTCAAGAGTAGGATAGAGCATGGGAAAATTTAGGACAGGGGAGAAAGTTTGAAATAGTTACTATACCAACAACTGTAGGAAAAACTGCACCAAAAACTGGAGGGATGCTCAAGAGGGAGCACAGAGTGCCAGTTAAAGTGGCAGGCCAGGGGCTCATGGTAGCTCTGTGGTTGTCTGATTTTCTTTGTCTGCTTCCTGCTCTGAAGTAGGTCTGAGGATGCATCCATCTCATGTCAGTCCTGGAGCTATCTGTTCTGGGAGCCAGGGTCCTGGTATTAGGCCTTTCTGTATGCTAGGTGCTTATCTACACTGCTTGGCAAATAGAAACTGCTTGAGGGAGTTCCTTGGCAGTCCAGTGGCTAAGACAGTGCTTTCACTGCTGAAGTCCTAGGTTCAATCCCTGGTCAGGGAACTAAGATCCCACACGCCCCACAGTGCAGCCAAAAAACGGCTTGATGTTAAATAAGTGGGTGAATCACAAGCTACAGTGGTTGGGATAAGGCATCAAAGAAGGCGAGGGGTTAGACTGGTGAGGCTTAAAGCCTTGTGATAATTGGAAAGAAAGGCTGTTTGTTCTGAAGAAAGGAAATTTGTTTTCAGTGAAATAACAAAGTAGAAAGAAAACAGAATAAGATTCACATGTATGAATAAGTATTTAAATTTAAGCTATTTGGTAAATGTGTATTATCTTAAAATGAAAGAATTTTTAACTGCTTATGGGTTTTTACTTAAGTGCTGATTCTAAAAGTCTAATTAAATCATCTGAGTCACTACTAGTTTATATTTTAAATACATCATCATTTTAACCCTAACATTCAGAAGGTTGGATTTAACCTTTGGTCCTCTCAGTCTGACCTCTCAGAGGCCACTTTTCATTTTTTCCCCACATTGATGCTGTTCTTCCCTGTCTTTGTAGTTTTGTGGAACTCATCTGCCTCAAGTTAGTGTTGTCATCAGATGGAACATAGTTTAAGTTGTAAAAAAAAAGTTTTAATTTATTTGGCTTCATTTTGATGGCTTTTTAATCATTTTTGTTTTTTCCTTTGAATGTTTACAGTGGAGCTGGGCAGGAAGTGGGAAGATCATGTATTATTCTGGAGTTCAAAGGGAGGAAAATAATGGTAAGTGGCTCAGATGGTAAAGAATCCACCTGCAATGTGGGTGACCTGGGTTCGATCCCTGGGATGGGATGATCCCCTGGAGGAGGGCATGGCAACCCCCTCGGGTATCCTTGGGCTTCCCTGGTAACTCAGCTGGTAAAA